CTGCCTAAGTATTCTAAGGAATAAGAATACCACCAAAAGCCCATGAAGATCTGTCTGCAGTCGAGTTGGGCAATGTTGCCTTTTAAAGATGCCAACAGTGTGCAGAAAACAGTGGTAGAAAAATGATATTTGTGTGGTAGAAAAGGGAAATGCTGGAATGTGATGTTTAACGGAACTTTCTTACACGTGATAACCAATAACTTGTTCAAAATTCTGTCCTGCCAACATTATTTCTTCAATGCTGATTTAAATACTATGTGCTATAAAGACTGTTAAGTGGAGTTCCCACATGAGTTTAATTCATCACCCTTTTCAGAGGACCTCTACTTTATAAACAATTACATCCTCGATCTACCTGCTACAAATTTATCGACATACATAAATGTGTGTCCTTTAATAGACAAAAAAGGTGTGCATTACATTTCACAAGGTTTATCTAGTTGAATAGTTGAATAGTTCAATCTAGTTGAATCAGCCATATTTAAGGTCACATTTAAGGAGTAAAAGATCTGTTTACCATGAAAAAATAAACAAAAGTACTTCGATATAAGTTTAGTTTTTAAACTTGACATACCCCAAAATCAACCAAAGCTATATTGCCACTGAGCACTGCAAACTACTGCAAAAAAGATGAATCAGCCAATGACTTTTTAAAATTCATTCCCATCTTCATTCCTCTCCTAAGTAGAACATAGACTTCACGATTCCTTTTTTTCAACACTTTCTAGCATAAAAAAAAAAAAATTTAAAAAGATATGAAGCATAGATAGGCAAGGTGATTTGCCATTGAATAATCAGACTAATGCCAGGAAAACACACTTCATTCTAGAATGTGAGAAATGGCATGAAACTACCAGATGATCTACTACTTCCAATCTCTCATTAATGGATAAGGAAACTAACATGTGTGAGATGCTCTAAACATCAATCTGCTAATGTGGAGCTAAGACCCCAAACAAGATTTTATGGACCATAATAATTCATTCAGCAAACACTTGAGTACCTTCCTTATCCTGGGCATTAGTCAAAGCATGGAGGAAGAGGCTAGGGTGTTGCTCAGTGGTAGAGTGCTTGCCTCGCATGTGTGAGTCACTGGGTTTGATTCTCAACACCATATATAAATAAAATAAAGGCCCATCAGCAACTACACACACACACACACACACACACACACACACATATATTTAAAGCATGGGGGAAGTAATACCCCTCCTGCTTTTGAGTAGTATGTAATTTATTCTCATTTTGAAATCCTTTCTAACTTCCTGAAGAACCTTGAGTCATGTTAGAAAATGAAAGTGAATTATTTGGGGTTGATGTCTAGTCTTTTAAAAAATCTATACCAAGTTGGAAATAGTTGAAAATTGGTATCTCAAGCCTTTAGATGCCTTTCTCTCTATGGAACAGTCATGGGAGAAAGCTGTGTAAATAAAAAGCATATTTTCCCAGGGCACTTTATTCCTGTAAGAATGGGTATAATGACATGTGGTCTCCTCTTTGAGAAAGAAACATCTAGAGATGGGGGTAGAGATTGCAGTTCACAGAGACCGTATCTACAGAGTGACCCTTTGCATTTTAAATCATGTGGGCCACGTGTGTACCCATCTCAGTCATCGCCTTTATGTTGAAGCAACCTGATCTAGTGAAACCACAGACATGGGTTCAAGTCTCCATATTTGCAGGTGAGTTTGGACCATTTTTATCTTCAGTTTCTGCCCACTTCAATAAAAGGAGATCAATAAAAGGAGATCACTCGTCTCTGCCCACTTCACCAGCCACAGATAATAAATACGCAAATATTTATATTATTTGTAGCATTATAAGGTAGCAAGTCCTATTATCTCCAATCCTGACTTTTCTCCTGAAGCCCTACTTCCTATATTTAAATGGCAGTGGCTGCTGCTCCTTGAATCTTACAGAAACCTTTCATTGCTTTTCCTGCTATCAACCAATTCTATACAGGTAGGAGGTTGATCTTCATGAAATCTTGTTCTCATCATGACATTCTTTTCCCTACAGGTTAAAGTTCAAACACGATGTTTGGAAATTTGAAGACTCTTCTAAATTCCACACTATTTATTCCTCTAGACGGATTGCTCACTGCACTGTTATCTCTTCCCGCGTTCTCAGTGTACTCATGCACACATGTGTTCACATGCATGCACACGTACACACACATCAAAGTAAAGCCCAGTTCCTATTTTCACTTCTTCCACGTGTTCTGTACACCTGGAATATAACACTTTTCATCCATCAGAGCATCCCATCCCCTCAGACCTATCTCCAGCCTCCCCTCCACAGGGTGACCTTCCACCTCTTCCTTTTCTCATAGCTCCACTCACTGAGCACTTAGCCACATGCATCTGCAAAAGGAGAAGGACCATGTCCAAATTGCATGTCTTGTCTCTGAATATAGTGTTTTGTATTTTGCAATATTTTATTTGGAAAATAGAAATAATAGTGCATAAATTAGGGTAGTCATAAGGAGGAAATGTGAGTATGTTTGTATGCAGAGGACCTGACACAATAGTGTTAGCTCTTTGCCATCATCACCTTATTATACTATTTGAGACAGAAAATAGAATTCAGAGTTGTCTTCACAAGATTTTCTCCAGTGTAGAAACCAATAGTCAATTAAGTGACTTACACTCATTGGTGTTTACCTACAATTAATAATGACATATGTACACACACTAAAGGATAAGTACAGGTTTGCTAATAATAGACAAAAATGGAAACAACCCATACACTCATCAATAGGAGAATGGATAAATGTCATATAATCATGCAATGGATTACTTACACAATTTTTTTAATGCAATTTCATAAATTAATCTCCCTGATGTAAGGATGAGTGAAAGAAACAAGACACAGAAGAATTTACACACTAAGATTCTTGAATTATGAAATTCAAGGGCAGGTAACATTAACCTTTGGCGATGGAAGTCAGAATAATATTATCTCGGGGCCCGGGGGCGGGGGGCGGTGAGGACTTACCAAGAAGGGTCCGTAGTGTGCTTCCTGAGATGCTGGAAATTATGTGGGTAGTGGTTACACCAATAAATATATAGGCAAACACTCATCAAACTATATTCTACCAGAATTTTCTAGTGTGATCTTACTTCATTACATTCTTGTTAAATGGTTTGGGATACCATAGGAGAAGGAAGCATAGATAAATCTTCTTTCTTGTTTTTGTGCCTTCCAACTCCACCCACTTCTGTCCTCAAAAGATCTCAGAATCTTTCATTTTCTTTTCACGGATATTGATAATCATTTGTCCAACCACTGCTCCATTTACCCACTCCATTACACTGTTTTACAAGAATGCCAAAGTCCTATGTCACCACTTGGAACAAGTTCAGTGCACCCGTACCCCTAGACATCACAGGAGTAAATGCCATAGGTTGGGCAGCAATGGATTTAGACTTTCACTGATTCACTTAGATATTTTATCCTAGAAGAAGATCACCCTTCCCTGGCATATTTTGTAACTTCAGTAAACATACCTGCAGTATGTCAGAGGAGGAAATACAGGTGAAAGTCAGGAGTGGTGAGAATGAGGGTATGCATGTGAGAGACGCTATTTCTCACCTTCCTCATTCATTCAGAACACCTATTCTAGCAGAATTTTCTACTGTGTATCTTAATACATACTCTCCAGTTGTATGCTACTTTGACACTAAACCTCTGAATTCTTATGTATGTTTTTTTTCTGATTATTTACAAAATAATCTCTGGTGTTGTTCTCCATTCAAGGAAACTAAGTTGAGAGACTTCTCTCCTTTTATGACTGAATATTCTTTCCCCCACATTTCCACCATCCTCTGACTGAATCTGAATCCCCCAAATCCCTTTGCCAGTTTCAAGCCCCAGCTCCTCTGCTGAATTGGATTATTCTTCAACAAGGACTCTCCCATGCTCTTGCCCAAATGCAGTGTAGTATGCCAGTCAGTTTTGCACCTTCATTAGGACATCAAAAATACAGAATTCACACCCTTCAGTGCAAAGTTAATGTTCTCTTCCTTTACTCTCTTCTGCCCCTTCCTCTCTCTCCCCCCTCCCACCCTCTGGCTCTTTTCCTCTCAATTCACAGGCTCAGCAGCAGCACCTGCTTCACAGAGACAAGGCTGCTCCTGTTCTGATTCCTCTAAGTTTTCCTTTACAACCAAGTCCCTCTTCCTGACACACACTGAAGTGAAAGGGAACACACAGAAGGAAAACACCACCAGCACACCGGCAAAACAATTCTTTTTTTTTTTTTTTTTAATGTCTCCCTAGAACCCTGAAGTTATTCTTTCCTTTGTCTTCACAGTCGTGGTGTGGGGGCAGGATGTTTCTTAATTTAGCTGTCCAGCATCTCTGTTTCTCTCTCTAGCCATCTTGAGGGGTTCCTGCTATCTTTTGCCATTCTCTCCGTGTGTGTGTGTGTGTGTGTGTGTGTGTGTGTGTGTGTCTTTACTATTTCTCACTTGGGGGCTCACTTCTAATTAAGTAACTCAGGAAGCTGAAATACACAAAACAACCAAATGAAACCCGAGATTAGAAGGAAAATGGGTCCCCATCTCTGGGAGTTCTGGTTAAGCAAGCAAACAAAATGGGCTGGGACAAATGATGATTATAACTCGGGAAGATTAGGAGAAAATGTAATTAGCTCCCCAGCTATTTCTTGTTTCGCAGCCTTCTTAGACTATCCAAACTTGATCCCCACCCCAGCCCCAGACCCAGCCGTTGAATTTATCTGAGGCTTCCTTATCGGTGCCAAAAAGTCCCTGCTGCAAAACCGGGAGGGTTAACCCCGAGCCTTACCCCAGGCTGCCAGCAAACCAGAGGAGCTAGCCTCTGGGGCTCAGAGCCCGCCCCTGCCAGGCCGCCCAGCCAATGGGCACCTGTGGGGAGTGTGTCGCTGCGTCCTATTGGCTGCCGACCTACATGCAGAAGAAAAAAAGAGAGAGGCAGGCCAGGCAGCATTGTTATCTTAAGACACTCATCTGGTGTCTGAGTCTGCAGGTGACACTGCCTAGGTACCGAGCGCGGGCTGGGAGCGGGGACGCGCCGGGCTGCAGCCCTGGGATGGAATCCGCCCGCCTCGCCAGCTGTTCGCGGCTCCTTGGGCAGCGCCTCCGCTGAGCTCGGAGGACCGGGAGAGCGCTTGTCCAGGGCTATGCACCTGCGGGGCGCTCCGAGGGCGCCGGTAGGTCTGCAGGCAGCCGGGGAAGCAGTGGAGCCGGAGGAACGATCTTTGCCCCGGTCTAAGGCTCTGATTCTGGATGACAGAGAGGGCGGGTGACTCTTTTTAGAGTTGGAAAGAAGGCAAGACCTTGGATCTTTCTCGGTAGAGGGACAGGTGACTCCCCCAGCTGGGTTTTCCACTTTCCTCACCTCTCCCACCCCGCGTGTCCCCAGCCCAGCGCCAAAGCCTCACTTCAAAGATGCTTTGGGCGACTGGGATCCTTGCTGCTCAGCGGGAAGGCAGCAGGCAAGTGGTCTAGCGGCGGCGGCGGCAGCGGCGGCAACAGCAAAGCGAAGAGCAAGAGAATTTGAAAAGAGACATCCGCTCCCTCTCACACGCTGAGGGGGAGGCATTCGCGTTTCCCCGAACGAGACGGAGCCACAAGAAATCATGAAGTAAAAACTTTGGAGAGCTGCCACTAGAGATGTTGCACGAAAATCTGGAATCTTTTAGGAGTCTCCTCCCAGTCGTTGGAGATTTGGGGAGCAGCTGATACTGCAAGGAGGGCTCTTGCAAAGATTCAAGGTAACAGTGCAGGGATTTCGCGATTTTTCTCTATCTCCTCTTCATTGCCCTTTTGGTGTATGCATTGGTGAGGGATCGGCTTGCCCTCCTATAACCCTCGTGCCCTGGCGCCTGACAGTTGTAGGCAGAGGGGGTAATGATTCCGCGTCTCCTAGTTCTATCTTGTGGAGCTGAGCAGTGGACTTGAGGGGATAGCTAGAGATCGCTCTGATTTTGTCTCCTGGTGTTGCATGGCTGTCACAAGGCTTGGGCACTCTGCCTGACCTATATTGCTTTTGCTTGGTTTAAGTCCTCAAAGTTAGTTCAACTCCCATTAGCTTCAGAAAATCCAATCGGGCTGCATAATTGCAGAAGATGACGAGGGCTTTTGCCTGCTGTGCAGATGCTGAACTGAACTGTATGAGGTTCACTATATTTGGGGAAGACCCTAAGGCACCGAGATCCTAATGCACAGTACATCTGTTTTCACATGTTCCTAGAGCCCTGTAGCATTTCTTTAGAGGCTAGTCGCTCTCCCATGCACTTCAACTGGGGGAGGGGAGTTCCAAAGAGTGAATCCTTTAGGGTGCAAATAGTGTCTCCAGGGTGGGGGTAGAAGCCCCATTGATTGAGTTGAGCGGGGCAGAGCACTGGAGACTCTAGGGGAGAATATTCCTGTGCAGAAAGGGAGATGTGCTGGTATCATCAAGCAGATATCTCTCCCTGTTTCTGTGATCATCTGGGTATACAGCCCAACACTGCCTGTAGCATGTGTGTGTGTGTGTGTGTGCGCGCGCGCGCGCACGCGCACGCGCTTGTGTTCACAGCTATCTGTAGGAAGCTGGCTACCCACAGGAGAAGCAAGCATGCACAGTGCCGAACCCAGCCACGGGTGCCCAGAGTGTTCCTGCCTACTAGGAGAATGAACTTGTGAGCTGCTATTCTAGCCCAGAGGAGTTTTCTCCTCCCCAAGCAGTTCCTCTTCATGGTACATATTTATCCAGGGTATATAGACCTAAGCCAAATATTAACTAAAAATCAAGCTAATGCACTGTAACGTGATTGAACAGACCCCTCTGTAAAGAACAGTGTGTGTGCTCTTCCTAGCCTTGGGAACAGGGTGCCCTGAGTAGGAGCAAATGTTTTGTTATAAGGATAATGATTATAAAAGGCCATGCTTGTAGCCAGGCAATCTGGGCCTTATCCAACAGGCACAATGATATGTCAGCACAGACCAATCACAATCAGAAAGCTAAAACATATATTGTAAGTCAATTATTTCTGCCCCTGTCCTTCTCCAGTGGTGTGCATGTTGAAGTGACTCTCTGATCGTGCTCACTGGAAGACATGCAATGCCAGTATTAACCAAGCAGCTGAAATATTTTACCAGATCCCCCGGGGGGCAGTCTGATGACCTCAGGCAACAGCAGAGGGTGCTGAAGTTTGTGTTTCTGTCTTGACTTCACACAGTTGTATGTATGTTGTTTGTTTAAGGCACAACTCCAAAGTTCCCTTTCCCCTGCCGCCAATAAGTTGCTGTGCAGCACAGAGGGCATGACCAAGCAATGCTGCCCCAGTGATCCTGTGCTGTCTGTACCATAGCTGCATCTGCTCTGGGAAAAGATGCATGCTTTGCTTCTTTGAGGAGGGATGTGATGTGAAAAGATGCAGCTCATGGGTACTGAGGAATGTTGGAAGACCAGGAAGCAAATGTCAGACCATAGTCTTCCCTGCTGGAGAGCAGCTGGCTCCAAAGGTCTGACAGCGGGCTGCAGCCAGGGAGAAGACAGAAACATTCTTGACTCTTGCTTCCCTCTACTCACCCAAAATGGAGCTGGCTCCCCCCACCCCCAAAGGAGTGGTATGTGCTGCAGTATGGGCATAAGAAAGGAGGTGAGGAGGAAATGGCTAGGGAGGGCAGGAGGTTCCTGCTCTGCTACATTGGTCTTGTCTCAAGGATGGGAAGCATCTTCTGTCCATGGCCCTCAAGATCCTTTTCTGGGTGTTACTTCCTGGCCTCCTGACAGGTTGTTTACTGAGTGAGGCCAGAGGGCACAGAGTGTCCCTGCGTCATCAGCTCCTCCAGATCCCCTTTCCCAAGGCACAGGCTATCCCCTGGGGAGAATCGCATAAGTGAGATCCCCTCTGAGAGGGTGCTCCAAAATCCCTCTCCAGCTCACAAACAAGAGGTAATCTGGAGGGACTGGAGACATCTGCATGGGCACTTTCTGCTGACTGAGATGCTTAGTGTTGAGGTTTTCTGGTTAGTGTTTATCAGAACCCTGTGCAGTGTGCTTTTGGTGATTGGACTCTTTCTTTTGGAAAATAAGACCCTGTATACATTTTATAAAGGCATCCTTTTCCGAAGGGCAGGGAGCATTTTACAGAGCTCCTGTAATTCATACTCACGTGGCTTATTGTCTTGTTTATGTCTGGTTAGTCTAAGAAGGAGAACTAGAATGATTTTAGCCTTCTTCTTGGAAAAGGAAGGGGAAAGAACCTCAAAAAAGAGGACCACTTTAGTTTGGGTCACACAGCAATTAAGGGAAATCATGGAATGAGATCTGAGTCTTATTGCTCCTAAACCAACCCAACCTCCATCAGCTTCAGGAAGATTTTGGTCTTAGTAGTTGCTGTCTGATTCAGTTGTTTTTTTGTACTTTTCAAGCGTGGGAAGATGCTGCAACCCAGGGTTCCTCCTCTGGTACTGACCTAAGGGTAGTGAGGGATAAAAGTTTTAAAAGCCTTTGCCCTCAATGATCTTCCATTCTGGTTAGGGAAGCAGGCTTACATCCGGGAACAGGTAAATGATGATATAAGTTCTAAACAGCAGTTCAATACAGGAGGGGCTGAGAGGCTGATCTAATTAATCTGCAATTGATTTGTACAGATAATGAGAGCTATCAGTGTTCAAAGGAGGGAGAGTTTGAGCTGAGCCATGGGGATGGGGTGAGATTAATTTGGATGGGGAGAGCAAGGGAGTTGAGTTCCAGCTGAAGGGAACACCAAGCACAGCACAGCGGAGTTAGCTGGAAACTCTACCAATTCCTTGGGGTTGGCCCTGGATCACCTCTCCCCTGGCAACCTGGAAATACTATATATCTGGTTTCATTATTTTGAACATATATTGGCCTAGGGGAAGTTGCCTGAGGATCTGAAAAGAGGGCTCTGAAATGCTGGGTATCTCATGAGGCACTGAGAATGACCTGTCCTTTCACACAGCCTCAAGTTGGAGTCACATACAATGAGGAAAACATGGCTCAAGGTCAGAAAGCTTATCAACCTCATATCCAAAAATTTGAGTAAGGATACTGGGGGAAAGCAGACAGTTTCAAGAAAACATGAGAAAACCTCATGTTTTAGAACCAGAATATCTTAAGAGAGAGCTTTGATTTTCTTCCATTTCCTATTTCCCCACCCAAATGTTCCTCTTGGGGTTTACTTGGAGTCGGCAAAATGCCAAAGCCCTTAGGCATTTAGCATTGAGCAGAAGATTTTCAATCTTAAGATTCTTGAGCATGCCCATGTACATAACCTCTTGTCTCCCCTTCTCTTTCCCTTTTAATAAAACATATGCAGTAGCAGTCACAAAGGAAGAGACCACAAAAAAGCAAGAGGGGGTGGGGTGTGGTACTGCCCGCAGCTGTACCACGGGCTACTGTTAGTGCTCAGCTGAGCAGGAGAGGGGAGAGGCAGTCGGCCCAGCCTGGTCAGCCCAGGGAAGGGCCAAGGGCCGCCCACCAGCAGAAGGCTGGGCCTGCCAGCTACACATGCGCTCCAGCAGTGGGCTTCTCTCCTGGGGGAAGGTCAAGGTGAAGTGTGGTCCCTGCGAGAGGGCTGCTAACAACCACCCAACTCACTGGTCTTCACATGTTTTGAGACATGTATCCAGGCTCCCTGCCCTTCAGAAAAGGATGCCTTTATAAAATGTTCCATGGCCCCATTCCTGCATTAGAGGGAGTTCACATGCTGCACAAGAGTAAAATGACTTGCCTAAAGTCACAGCAAAACTTCTCTGAGGTCAAGCGGGAAATCCCCAGGAACCCAGTCTGTTTGCGTGCTTTGCCTCTGGAGTTCATTCTGGGAACAGGTCTCCAGGGACATTTACTTGCTCTTGAAAATCCAGCCTTAGCCCTTGATTCCTGTATTAAATGACCATGCAGCTGGATTCTGGGTATGCCCTTTCTTCTTTATTCTTCAGAAGCATCCACTGCCATCTGTAGGGGAGGAGATGAAGGTCCAGGAGGGTGGCTGTGTGGTCAGTGATTGTGAATTTAAGCATATTCTATTTATGAGAGAAGGAACGGGCAGATCAGTTAGGCTTCAGCCTCAGAGCTGCAGTGAACTGGGCTCATCTGACCAATTAGGGGCAGGTTGGTCCCTCTTCAGTTGCCTCTCTGCCATGCAGAAGGAAGGAAGTAGCGTCATCACAGCATGATCAGTTCAATAGCCAGTTCCACCATTCCTTGTACAGAAACTCACCATGCAGATTCATCCTGAATGCTGGACTGAGCCAACGCAGCAGGGAATTTATACCCCAGGTCTGAGCTTAACATGTCATAACCGCCCGGTATGGTAGCCACTAGCCACAGCTGGCCCTTGAGCATGTGAAATGTGTGCTATCAATATAAAATACACATTGGATTCTGAATATTAATTTTAAAAGGAAATGTAAAAGATCTCATGGATAATTTTTTATGTTGATTACATATTCTGGTTATATCATGTGAAATGAAATATATTAGGGTTGGTTTCACCCATATATTTTTTTTAATTTTTAATGTGGCTATCAGAAAAGTTAAACTTATATGTGTGGCTGGCCTTATATTTCTTTTGGACAGTGCTGGTCCAGGCCCTGCAGAATAGTGACAAGTTAATGGGAGAAGGGGCAGAGGCCTGAGACAGAAGGAGCCAGAGACATGAGAAGAGAGAAAACATGGAGGGAGGGGTCAAGAGCAGCCCAGGGGAGCCTCTGGACATGTATTTCTGAAATTTAAAGTCAAGGAGGGCACCAATGATTT